GTTATGGTACGTGGAGGCATCATGCTTCGTAACCGTAATGACCTCCAGATTTTTGAGCGTGGCACCCTTAACGGCGGCGTCACTGTGAAAAGGAACCTCTCCCTAATGTGTATCTTTTCAGGGCTGCAGTGAGTCCTGAACTCATTTTCATGGATAACAATGCGCGACCGCATCGAACATCTCAGGTGGAAGAGCTCTTTACACAAGAGGTTATCCAGCGAACGGAGTGGTCTGTCCGTGCCCACGACCTGAATCCCATGGCGCACGTGTAGTATGCACTGGGTAGAGGCATTACAGCACGTCCAAATGCACCACTGACCATCCAGTATTGTCAATTGTGCTGATAGAGGAGTGGAATGCCCTACCACAATAATTCATTTCCAACCTCGTGGAAAGTATGGAATCGCACTACAGAGCATTTACTGCTGTCCGTGGTGATCACATACCCTATAAGGAACCGCGTCGCTTTTTTTAGTACTAGGATAAGTTGTGAGGAGCTATGTGTATTCGATACCTTTCAATGAAAATGCCTTATTTGCTAGATCTATTTCGATTTTCTGCAGTTACTTCCTGTGCAATACCGTAATGATCCTCTATTGGTACGGTATAAATTTCATCGAGCTCTGTCGCCTGGCAGAGGTTCAGTTATCGAAAGTTGCTTTCGTTCCTAAGTTTTGCGCACCAGTGTATGTATATTCCGTCACAGGCCGAACACTGCAGTTGGTACACTACACCAGCTCCACCTTAATGATGCTTCTGGATACGGTCATTCTACGGAAAAGGCGTTTCTCACACAATGTCACAGGCTGAATACTTTGTGGGTAGCAATCGGAAAGACAGCAAAATTGGATAGAATGTTGATTAGAAGACTGAAGTTGGGTACACCCTCATGTCCGGTTTTCTACAGCCTGATCAAGGCTCACAAGTTGTCCAATGGGGGTGAAAAGTCAGTGAATGCTAGTGATTACAAAATTAGACCCATTATCAGCGGTGTAGGAGGACCAACGGACCGTATTTCCTGGTTCCTCTACAAAATTGTTGGTCAACTACTCCGATATGTACCCTCACATTTGCCTAACACCAATGAATTTCTTGATCGCCTACGTTCATGTATGCTTCAAGAGAACTGCGTAGTAGGATCATTCGATGTGACTGCGCTTTATACGAACGTCAACAACAACGAAGCTCTCCAAGCGGTCTCCCAAATGCTGGACGGGCATGAAACAGAAATTGTGACGTTTGGGTTGAGCAAGGTTCATATTATGGCTCTGATCAAGGAATGCCTTAATTGTAATATTCTCAAATGGAGCGGACAGTTTCCATGTTCGGTCTTCTTGAAACCTGGGCATGTCACATAATGTTTTTACACTGTTTTGCCGTACAGGTTTGTTATGGT